GCAGCATAGATAAATAAATAACAATCATTTTCTCTTATTTTTAAATGTCTCCACGGTAGCACTTGTATCCCTTTCTACATATGAACACTGTACAGTACCTGAAGGCTTTTCCTGTTGTTTAGCATGGATTTTCCCTCCTTTGGTTTCACCCTGCTGTCCCACTCTCCTCCTGTGGCACCATGGGCACCCCTGCGGCTCTTCCCAGTGTGAAGAATTAGGCATCTGCTTTTCAGGAGGGATGGTCACTTCTGGCTGTGTGTGTTTGGGCAGGAGTGTGTGGTCAGCGTCGGAGCACAGGGGATGGGCTCCCTTGCATTTTGCATGTTGGTAAGTGCAGTCCCATGTGTTTTGGGCCACTGGTGGGCAGGATGCAGAACATGCAGCCTGCAGTGGGCAAAGGTGACCATCCCTGTGCTGGGCTTGGCTGCACTTTGAAAAGTGGTAGTCAGGCTCACGTTCAAGAAATCATCCTTTGACTTAGTGGTCTTCATATTCCCCCAGATCCCCATTTTTGGGAAGAATTCTTGAGAGCCGGTCCTGAACCTTCCTCCTTACATAGTGCCTTCAGTCCATGGTTGGAGCTGGGTTTAAGACAGAGATTTCACTCTTTTCTTAGTAGCTGATGATCTTTCTAGAGCTGACATGGCTCTAGGCTGATTGCATTACATCTGTCAGCAGCGATGGCTCTGGGCGACTGTGCCTGAGAGGGGTGAAGAGACACCCTTTCCTTGGGGTCGGTGCTCTCTCCAAGGTAATCCTAGAGGTGGATATGGGCTCTGATCCTCCCCCATGAAAATCCTGCCTAGCTGTGCACCAAGAAGACTTGGGCTGCTCTTCTTAGAGCAGATGACAAACCACTTGCTTACAAGATTACTACTGCTCAGCTAGCATTGATAGTGCACACTCCTTGCCTTCCATGGGGACGGGAGCAGGGGGGCTAAGCCCAGTTTGATTCAGAGAGAGAGGATCCTGGCAGGCAGCTGGAGAAATGTGGGGAGGCAAGCAGAGGATGGATCGTGAATTCTTGCTAATGTTTTTCCAATTCCTGGCGGACAGTGACCCCCTGCTGCTCCTGGGTTCATTCCTTCAGTGCTCTTTGCCTTTGGTCAGCTCTGCATCAGGGACTTTGCTTCTCTGATGTGGTTCTGCCCAGAATAGCATGGCTCAGCTTGAGCTATGGTGGTATGAAAGGAGCCAGCAGCTCCATCTGCCCCAGGGCTTTGCAGCTTGCGTTTTGAGGGGAATGAGTCACGGGAAGGCTGGGGCTCCCGGCCCCTGGGTGATTCCCGACAGCTCCTGAGTTCGACGTCAGTCATGATTTCCAAAGCATTTAGTCACATCTGAGAGATGCTCGTTTGCTGTGCAAGCTCCTCCTGTGACAGCCGCTGTAACTGTTGGGTGCATTTCAACCTGTGCGCAGAGAGTGGGCACCATCAGAAGTCAGTGTGGCAGTGGAGGTGTGAGCGGAGGGGTGACAGGTTCACTTTGCCGAGGTGGTGGTGCAGCATTCCAGGGCCTCAGAGCACTGGGTCCCGCTTTAGCTGTCTTGGCTGAGTTTGCAGAGCCTGCCACCATGTTCTCCCTCCCTCCTCTGGTCCTGCCCAGGCTGCTGGCTCCATGGTCGGTCAGTGCCTGGGATGCTCCAGCCTGGAGATGGCTGCACTTTGGCAGCAGTAGCGGTAGCAAAAGCTGCGATGCTCTTGGGATGGTTGAGATGAGGTTGAGCATCATTATTAACCCCTTTGTTGTTATTCTCATTAACAACAGTATTAATTCAGTTCTTGTGAGGCCTCGGTTTCTCTTTTCTTCTGACTCAAGCATCTCCCCCTCCTCCCCACCGTGCCGCTGGTTTCCCCGGCTGCTAGCAGGAAGCAGTGAGTCTTTTCTTTCCAGGGCAATGACAGGTTTCCTGTGGCAGGTGGTTTTCTGGTTAAAGACGGCGGTTATTCAGTGCGCCCTCCCCCCGGCTGGGCGGCCCGGGAAGCGGCCGGGCGGCGTGCATGTGCGTGAGAGGGAGCGAGAAAGCCTGGGCGGGAGCACGCCACAGTCACTTCTCGTAAGCCGGAGCTGGGGAGCGCGGCTGGGGCTCCCAGAG